ACAAAAAAAAAAATAAAAAAATAAAAAAAAAACACATCATAGTAAAATTAATACCTTCTCAGCTTCGCATCGAAGCTAAAATTGAAAAAATGTAGAAAGTTAGTGATTTTCAAAGTTGTAATTTTTTTGTAGATTTCCTCCATTTACGGGGAACGAGGGAAATTTTTAAAATTTTTGAGGGTAATGTCTTCGACTAGATACGATTGGTGATCTTTTGATGTATCGTTGAAAGAAATCGGTTCTGTGAGAGCTGAGAAAAAGTGGTAACAGACAAAAAAAAATAAATAAATAAAAAAAACAAATACGTCATAGTAAAATTAATATCTTTTCAGCTTCGCATCGAAGCTAATAATAATTCATTGCAATAATTCAACGAAAACTTAAAAAAAAGTACCAACCTTTTAAAATAAACAAAAAAAAATAACCTTGTTCAATTAGTCAACTATTATAGGCGTACAATTGTCACATACTATGTGATTAACTTAGTACACAATCATAAAATGAGCAATATAAGTAAAACTATTATGAATATTTCATTATTATTATTAATTGTATTTCATTCATTGTGTAAGTAGGTATTATTATTATACATAATTTAAGATAAAATACTATAGAATTAAGAATTTTGTGTGTTTTTTTGAATACATAAAACGATAGGTTACTAAATATAATAATTGTTAAAATTTCTCACAAGGGGAGACTATAGTGATAGGATCCTTTATATTTATTGAAGTTATTGAAACTAAATGAGATAAATATCAAATGATTTGAAAATTTTATTCTAACTCAAAAAAAAATGCAAAATAAAAATTGCCACAGACGGACTTGATCCTCGTACCTTAAGAATGAGAGACACAAGTGTCACCGACTCGGCAACTGTTCATTGCTTTCGTCACTAGACGAATTTAAAAATTTACAATTCATAAAACATTTTTTTAAACTATTTTAACATAATTTGCGAGGAAGATTGTTAAAGATGCTCATCAATTAATTTTAATTGAATTTACTACTTACCTTACGCATTCATCAGGATAAGTTTCACAATCGGTAATACATCTGTATCTTTGCCAAGCTAACCATCCCATCGGAGGTGTTAAGGCTAAGCCGTTATCTAATCCATGAATCTGTTGTAAAAAAAATAATAACAAAAGACACAATAGTGAAAAACCACCAATCATCATTCAGCTAATCTAGAAAAATAATTAAACATTTACCAATAAAAAATGTTATTTAAAACTAATGCAGATAATTAAAGTTTTCTAAAAAAAATTATTCATATTTTTTATTATAGATGTATTTTAATACATAACTTGAATCCTAAATNATATTTTTTATTATAGATGTATTTTAATACATAACTTGAATCCTAAATAAATGAATTAAAAATTATGTTACGTACTATATTACTTATTTAAAAAACATAAATAATAACATTACTATTTATTAATAATTAACAATAAAAATAGTTATTACAGTTTTATATAAACATTGTACTATACTATTTAATAACAATATTTTATAGTTTTTAAAAATATATAACCTTACTGATTAATTAAAATTTTAATAACTGTGACTATACTGAATGTCGTCGGAAGTCCAATTGAATACTGTAGTCAAGTGTATATTACAAAAAAATGGTAAGTATACAACTGTAAAAAAGATTAGCATCAAATAAGGCTTAGTACCAACTCATACCGGTTACAATGCTTTAAACTATTTTCATAACGGAATATAATTTACATATACTCAGTGACGTATTTGAGACTTCACTTCTAAAAGGGGGAAGCTATATTAAGGTTACCTCTTGAAAATTCGAAACTATATTAGCTTTTAGTTACTTTTTTCATAAATTAAAGCCAACATTAATTAAATAGTTGTTATTGATTTAATAATTATTTTAATTTAATTTAATAATTTAATTGATTTAATGTTATTATATTAGTTATAATAATAAAATTTACATAATTCATGAAAACTTAAAAATATCTTATTATATAGAATGTCCATTAGATAAAGAATAAGGTCATTTGTTACAAACAATAAGAAGAATAGAAACCCGTCTCTTTACTTATTGAACACTCTATATAATAAAACATTGAAAATTAGTCGATACTGGAAAAATTAATTAATGATGTCCGATTTTCAAATATTTCTTTTTTAATCAAAAAGAAAGATGTCATTTTCTAGTAAAATTATTTGTGAAAATGAGGAAAATTTTTTAACACTTTGTTTAATACGCTCATTGCTGCCACCAGCGTTGTTCAATTTATAACAGGCCTGTCCAGAGACAATCAAAAAGTACATTAAAAATTGAATTTATTAAATTTTTTTTAAATTTCCTTAAATATGTCACTATACAAAGGACGTATATACTTATACTTACAGACATTCATACTTGGAGTATATG